CAGACCCTCCTCTGTCATCCAGCGATCCGGAAGCAGAATGACCGCTGTAAGGCCGGCATCACTTCCGAAGCACTACCTTTATTCATTTATTCTCAATTCATACACATCCACACTCAATTCATCAGCATGGAGGCTCTCCGTCTCGTTGTAGGTAGTGCGTAGAAGACACTCATCGCTCCTAGTTCGGCATCATTCCCAGACGGGCATTTCTTCTTTCCCCACAGTCTGACCCACGCATTCTAACTCATACAGTTTGACCCACTTTTCCAGCTTCACCTTTCAGCATCATTTACTCTTACCTTCGCTGTTGGTCCAGCTGTCTTTCTTCCTCCTGGTGCTGATTACAGCACGGATATAGCTGTGTAAGTTAGTCCAACCTGATTTAATTCAATCATTCTCTCAATTATTTCTCTCATTGTAACAAAATTCACAACTATCTCTCTCTCCATTCTATTCTTTTATTGTTAGCTACATCTAAATATCTAGTGTGTACTGATTCTTCTATATTGGTAAGGCATATTCATCAACATTCTAAGTGTGAAAGGAATATCTCTCCATTTTTGGTTTATAAGCGTGTAGAATATTGCTTCTGGCCACCAGTTTGTTTTTAGTTTCAAACCATGTTCTTTGTGGTAGAATTAAACGGATATTAGTTCAAAATATTATAATGGCGATCTTGCTACCATTTAGAGCGTACTAAGTTATGTAATTACTTCCAACTTGAAGGACCACTCACTGGCGTCGGAAATAAGAACACAAGCAGTTTAAACAATGCGTAGTTTAATAATTTCATGTTAGCCAAAGTTTTAGCGCAAGTTCTTTTATTGAAACCGCCGATCACTGCCCACCTTACACTAGCGAAACAGTTCACGAGCACTGATACAGATTAAAATGTTACTAAAAATTATCAGTTCAACTTAAGACGTTTTCTTTAATATGAATATACTTGATTAAGAATTATCCGAGCGATATTATAAGATTTCGAGCGGCAGCCTCCAGGGTCGAAATTGCTATGATGATAGCCAACCTTCGCAGCGGAGATGGCACGTGAAGAAGAAGAAGATTAAGAATGAGCGTTCAGCTTTTAACTATAAGTTATGTACCAATAACTAAAATTCGAAAGCGAGAGTTAAACTCTAAACAAAAAGCGACCAGCTCAGCTGGCATACAATTTGATACTACCTAAAATTCTGATTTTCAATGCCTGACTACTGCAAGGGATTTACAAAGGACGGGAAACAACTTCGATATTTCTATACAGAGGTAGGTAAAAGCCACCTTTTGAATCTTGTCTAATAGGTAAATTTTTGGAATTCGTCGGAGAAAGTTATAGTTTATTTTTATGAACGAGAGAGTAATTAGCATAATTTTAACTGGTATCTCCGACCACTCCATGGGGGTGCTCAAGATTAATTGAAAAATTACTTTGAATAATTGTAAAAAATAAATGATTTATTTCAGTGTTATAAAGTGTTATGTGTATGTAAACAAAAGTGACCTCTTTTATCACACACCATATTAGAACTGACTGGCCTACATTAAAAAGGATTTTAAAAAATTCACATTTTTTTTAATTTTTAAAAATTACAAAAGAGAATAAGAGTTTTTAAAACCGTCTAAGGTATGTTAAATAGATGAATAAAAATATTAATATAAAACTTACAGCTACTTGTTACAAATCCAAATCAGATTCAGAAGATGAACTTTCAGAACCAAGATTTATAATAACTGGCTCGATCATTTTATCAGTAATATTGTCCAGCTTCCACATTTTTTCCTCTTCTTTAATAGTGTGATTTACTGCCTTTTCCCAGTTTTCAGGTTTTACATTATTTACGGCCTCCAAAAACTACTGTTTAACATCATGAATTTTAAAAGTGGTATTTTTTATTGAAACTTCACTCTTTATCTGTGCCCATACCAGTTCAATCGGGTTTAATTCACAATGATATGGTGGGGATCTAAGTACTGTCATTCCACGATTTTTGGCAATTTCATCAATTTCGTATTTTTTAAATTTTTCTTTATGAAGGTCACACAACGAATAAAGTTCCTTTCTTATAGTTCCGGGATGGTACGTAATATTTTTTGAACTCAGCCAATTCTGCAAGTCTTTTTTTAACCACTTCGTTGTGGGCAGTCCTTCTATAAGTCTGGAGTGATAACTTGCATTATCCATTACTATAACACAGTTCTTAGGAAGAAGATCTATCATTTGTTCGAACCATTCTTGAAAGATATCAGCGTTCATGTCTTCATGGTAGTCACCGGTACGAGTTGATTCAAAAGTTAATAAACCACCTTCAATAAAACCGTCTGAACTGCCAATGTGTACTATTATCAGCCTGCGTCTCTTTCCTGATGGTGGGTTTAAACCAGTAGATAAGTTATTTACAAAAGCGTGCCTTAGACTTGTAACAGTTTCATCCTGCCAAAATTTATTTGGTGTATGACCCTCGTTGATCCATGTTTCATCAAGATAAAATATTTTTCTTTTTTGGTTTCTCATTTCCTTTATGGTTCTTAGAAAATGTCTTCTCCATATGACAATATCGCTTCTTTCTAATAAAATAGACTTTCTGGGATTCTTTTTCCAGCGGAAGCCTATTTCTTTTAAAAGTTTCCATAACGTACTTCGACTCATTTCTGGGTAATCCTTATCATCTCGAACTGAGACAAGAACTGTATCCAATGTTGGAAATTCTTGTCTAAAGAAGAATTCATGCACTTTCCGTCGAAGTCCTTTTTTAAAATGATATTCTATTTGAAATTTTGGTTTCCCTGGAGCATTACGTGGCTTTAATAACTCTGTAAATCGTAGATTTCCCAACACCAAGTGTACTGCTAACTAACTCAACGGTCTCATCAACACTTTTACATAAACGTTTTTCTGTAAATGATTTAAAACAATTAAATATTAATATTTTTTTATTAACTGTTAAAGGACCAATTTTTCGGCGTTTACATGGCACTTCCAAATTTTCCATAACACTAGTATATACAATAAACTGCACCTTGCAACTGAAGTACCTACTTTTAGTGAACTGTTAAGAATTTTAAATACGCCACTTGGACCTTCCTACAAAATGGAAAAACCCGCTATCACATTTTCTGTGGAATAAGTTTAGAAGGTAATTATCTAGTCAATTACTGTCGTAGATTCCTGGAATTAAAGAATTAAATGTTTGATTGTTGAAACCCTTACTTCGTGGAATGCACTCATTTCAGATAAAATAAAACGTTTTATTTTATCTAAAGAATTAAACTTTATTTTGCAAATAGGTAGGTACTTATTAAACTCTTATTGGTTATATATAACCAATAAAATAAACATCTTACATTTCTTGCAAATTCATTAGTACCTGTTAACCTCCATCACTCCGACACTGGCAACCTTATTTAGAGATTAGTAACCCTCACAAGTATTGTATTCTATTCTGCTCCAACCTTTATACCTGGTGGTCAAACTCAATTTAAAATTGTTTTCCTATATACTTCTGTAAACTTGTTGACAAATATCTGTTTTTCATTGAGTCACCCGTATCAACAGTTTAGGGATTTGCATACATAATTTATTGTTTTATTACTCTCTCATACATAAAAATACACTATAATCTTTGAGTAAAAATATCTTTTGAATACATTTTCGGCCTTCATGAGAATTTACCTAGGTAGAATTTAAGACGTGTAAGGTAATTGCTAACAGTGGCGTAGCAACACTTCAATAAATTTTTTACAGACATTTATCCATTTTGAATTACAATATGTAATTCAAAGTAACTTCCAGGTATTTAGGAGAAAGTGTTCAAGAGTTTTATATATATATAGTATATATATATATATATATATATATATATATATATATATATATATATATATATATATATATATATATATATATATATATATATATATATATATATCCGGTTTTTTAGGCGTTACGCCCGTCCGGTAGGGATCTATGGAGGAGTATCACCGAGCCGCAAGCCCTTATCTCTTGCCGTACTGCTCCACCATAGGCCGATCAGAACCCAGCATATCCTAGTCTAAGCCGCAGATTTATCTAGAATTTTAAACTGCTGCGTTAGACTTTTTTGTTTTCTGTACACCGAGCTGGGGCTCGACCCACATCCACTAAACCATTCGACAGTGAAGCGAATGAGAGGCAGCCGCACAGCCTGCTAAGCTATCCGACCGACTATTAAGATTCTTCTGCTATTAAAAAATTGAAAATACCTACTGACTTATTTTTTAATTTAATTTATAATACAGAGTCAATACTATACTTATGTTTATGCGTTTTTATTCATATCTCGAGTTTGACAAAAGCTATCAACATGCGGTTTGTGCCATTTTGTTACGAATTTAATCCAGTTCAGTTATAATTAACAATAAATAGGTGTTTCCATTAAACATTTTAAAGAAAAACAAATTTTAATTTTTTCTATTTGAAAGTACCCTCTACCCATGACAATTAAGATTAAATGCAATTGTTTTATAGTAGATGTAGATTAAATTATCCACACTCTTTCTAATGACACTAATTTCGTTAAAATCGGTTGATCCAAACCAAAGTTATAGGTATTTATCCACAAATATTTTGCCACCCTCATCCACCCTTTATTTGAAAAAATAAAAAAAAGTACTTGAACAACTTTGTGCGGAATTTAGCCGTCTTTCTAGTTCACTTATTGAACACTTGGTATAATTGGGCATATTTTACAAAAAACTGGTTTTCAAATTTTTCTTCACAGGTTACGCCCCCTAGCGGTTAACCCAGAAACTTGAAAGTTATTTCCAGCGATTTCTTTTGGTCACTTTTACTAAGGAATTTTTTCTCCTCAATTTATAACATGAATAGTTTCTGATATATAGCCGAGCGATCGGCTTATTGGACCACCCGGTACATACTATATAATAAGATGTCTCCATCAACCAGTCTATCTAATAACTGTCAATTTATGTTGCCATAGTATACATTATAAGAAATGACAAAAAATGTCAATTTAACATATAAACCCATATATTTTTTAAATTTACATACTTTATTTTACTACGCCGAAATATATTTTAATTTATCTATATAGTAGTGAGACCAAACTATTTTTAATTCTATATTTATAGCATGGATGATACTGATTCGGTAAAATGTGGGGAACCGAGAGTTGATTCTGATGATCCCAAAGAAAGAAAATTTGCGAGACGATTAAGAATAAAAAGGAGAGTTGAACTTCAAAAACAAGAAAACCTATCAATTGCAGATAAAACTACCCAGTAAGTTAATCTTTGATTAATATTAATTAGATAATTATTAATTTGATTTTTACTCTATTGACTATTTTACTCTATTGAGAGTACATATTTAATATAAATATGTACTCTCTTTTATCTTTTATGCATTACGAAGTGTCGTGATTTCGTACCATACGAGTAACGATTTCTTTCCATCGATTTCTATCTTGAGCTGCTCCCACAAAGTATCTACGACCTCTGTATCTACGACCTTTAACGTTTTTCAAAATTAGTTTTCAAGTCTCTTAAGATTATTATTACTCCTTGCAATATATCCAAAAATCTTTAAGATGGCTGCGATACCATTGGACGAGAGTTGAGTCTGAATGTTAATTACAAGTCTTTAGAAAATAATGCTAATTTTTCCCATAGCCACATATTCATCCGAAACATGGACCTTAAAGAAGGCGGATGAAAATAAACTGGACGCTTTTGAAATGTGAGTTGTAATGTAACCACGGTTGTAACCGTTTCAAAAGTTTTAGAAAATTCATTATAAATTCGATTATTTTTTTTTAAATAAAACTACTGACATCATCTATCTGCCGGGTACTTGTAGCCGACTCACGGATTCTTCTGGAATTTTCAAACATATCCGGTAGATGAGAACGTTCATTAACTTGTCACTCACGACGCAATTCACAGCGGTAAGGAATGCGTCTTTCTTTTCTGACATTCCATGCACGACTTATCACACTTTACGACACATTTAGCCTTATAGCAACCTCTTGTTGAGTTATGCCTTGTTGGATCCAACGAACTAATTGCTCGAGCTGCACTAGTTCTAAACGTCTTTTCGGCATAATATTTTTGTGATAAATAGATTTCTTGACTTATTCACAACTGGTAAAGCCAATAGAAGCACTTTTATACGAAGGATATATTCATGTTTGGAACAACATGTCTCTCTTTGTATGAGATAGGGGCCGATAAGAATAGGGAGAAAAAAACCACATGCAAAAATATTGGCAATAAAGAAAGCATATAGAGTATAGTACAAACAATTATTTTAAAAATAGTTTTATATGTTAATTTTAGTAATTTTAAAATGATCCACTTCAATTGTTGTGTAGTGTAATTGGACTTTTCGAGAAACACTTCAAATAATTATTTTTTAAGTATCGCTGAGAAGCCATTGTTTGATGACGAATATCAAGTGTTACATAAACAAAAGCAAAAAAGCGACCAATATTTAGAAAGACGTTCCAAAGTATCAGAAGCCGGTTTAAGTCACAGGAGACATATTACATTTAAACGAGAGTTAGATAACAGGATAGAATCTGGTAAGTTTAAAGTTTGCATATCGTTTTTTATTATTTTTATTGTACATTATTTATTAGATACCAGTAAGAAACAATTGATCAAGGAATTGGAAGAGGAAGCACGACAGGCGCAAAATAAATTTGAAGAAATCGCCGTTAAGTGGTCTCTTGTGAAAAAATTTAAGGATCCGTATAACATACAGGAAATCATAACCGCTCAAAAAGAGAAATGTGATGACGTAATAAGGCAAAAAGACGCTATTATTGCTACGTTAAAAAATAAAATCAAGGGATCAGAAATAGAATATAGTAAAGAACAACTAAAACAAGAAGAAGATGTTAACGACTTAACTGAAAGAATAAGGAAACAAATAGATTTAATGAGAAAAGCTTATAAAAAACAAATTAAGATTATATATCGTACAGTTAACAGTTTGAAAAAAAAATTCGTTCAAGCGAAAAATTACAAATGGTAAATATTATTCTTATTAGTATTATTATTCACTTTTGCACTATCGCAGACCTACATAGACTACACAAATTTACGTTTCCCGTATAAAAAGTGTTTCACCGAAAACAAAATAAATTGAATAACTTCATTTTGAGAATTCAAAACACGTCGATTTTAATTCCATAGCGGAACATTTTCCATCAGATTCTCAACTGTCATATCTACCTCCCCAACCATCCGAAACGATCATCATTGTGTAGCACTATGAATCTTGGCTGACTGTATAACTTTTTTTCCAATTGGGTCTTCTTCATTTTTTCGAGATACGATTATATGGTGTCTCTCCATCGCATTCTGGGACGTCCAAATGGCCTTTTTCCTTTAGGAATCTCATGCCAAAGCAGATTTACAAGTTTCTCGTAATACAGTCTATAAACATGCCCAGCGTACCCTAGTCGTTGATATTTAATCTTTTGAACATCATTATTATTGTAAAGTTCTATTATTTCTGTATTTTTTATTATTCTATATTAGTTTGTGATCATACAATGGTGAGTTATTTTCTTTTAAATCATCTTAGTTTTTCTTCATTTTCTTTATACAGGGTGAGTCATAACTATTGGGACATAGACTAAGGACAGGTTATTTGGACCAAAATATGGCTATTGGGCCAAATATGCCTTAAAAAAATGTTGCTGAGAAAAGAGATACAGGGCGTTAAAGTTAATTTTTGTTTTTCGTTTTTTGCTAATAGTTTCCGTGTATATTTACAAATTGCTGTTAAAATTGGCACAGAGGCATAATCTTAGAGAAGAAATAGTATTTTATTTACAATTCCACTATCAAATACCAAACAAACAAAGTTGTAACTAACGTAAGGTTTCCGTTTTGACGATAAATCAAAACTAAACACACTTTAACTTAAAAGAACTCACAAAATCTCAAACCAAATGTTCTACATGGGCTCCTTTGATTTCTATGCCTTTTCTAATTCTTTTTATAAAGGAATTTCGAACGTTAAAAAAATATTATTCAGTCCCCTTATAAGATTAGCTGCATTTTGAATGTATCTCCAAAGTTCGTCTCGTGTACTAATTTCAATGACATAAACTAAGGACTTTATATGTCCCCAAAAAAAAAAATCTAGCGAGTTGTACTCAGGACTTCTTGGTGGCCATTGAAAATCACTGCCTTTGCCAATTCGTCGTAGAGTAAATACGTCATTAAGATGATTTGTAACAGCTACGTGCTGAAATGATGAAAAATGAGGTGGCGCTCCATCCTGCATAAACCACATTTTTTATCTTACATCCAGTGACAGATCATCTAAAATATCACTAAGAGTATTTTCCAAAAAGAATAAATGAGAATCTCCATTTAAATTCGGAGGAAGAACATAAGGCCCTAGTAGTTGGTCGCCTATAATGCCACACCAAATATTCAATTTAAACTCATGCTGAAAATGTCTAGCTTTAATAGCATGCGGGTTTTCTTCTTCCCAATAATGACTATTTCGCCAATTAAAAACCCCTCGTAACATAATATTCTTAATAAAGTGTCTGTCATTGCGATGATTATTCAGAATACGTTGGCAAAACTGTAACCGTCGTAGAAGATCTGTTGGAAGTAAATTTTGAACAGGAGTGAAGTGATAAGGATGGAGGTTCTCTTTTTTAGAAGCTGATAGATGCTCCTGATAGATGTCGTGAACTTATTTCAGAATTTTCATCTACTCGAACCAAAAGTTCATCTTCTTGATTAGGTGTGATTTGTTTCGGTCGACTACCTCGATTTTTAGTGTGAAATGACCCAGTTTCACCTAAACTACGATATAATCTTTCAAAAGTTTTGTGATTTGGATGCCTTCCGTTTGCGTATAACATTCCATACCTTTTGGCTGCCGAGCGACCGCAAAAATTTTCTTGTGCGTATACGCAAATCATATCTCGCATTTCTTCATTAGTAAAATGATTGTGACGAGGCATTTCAATAAAAAAAAGTAATGGTTACTTTAAAAAATTGAAACATTACACTACACTGTCACATCAAAAATAATTTACTCTGAACAAATGACATTTACCAACAACATTATCTGACAGTCCAAGCATACTTTTCATAAATGAAATAATATTTGAAATCCTTTTTTAAAACTCTAAGCAGCTCGACTGCGTTTTTATCGAAAACAGTTGAAATTATCATGTTTAAAACAAGAGTACCAACTTTACGTAAAAATGATGTTTACGTCATATTTTCTAATAAAAATTCAGAAAAAGTTTAGACTCAATTTTATCATTAGGAATGATCCACGTGACGCCCTCTATGACAAAACGTAAAATTGTAAATAAAATACTATTTCTTGTCTAAGATTATGCCTCTGTGCCAATTTTGATAGCAATTTATAAATATACAGGGAAACTATTAGCAAAAAACGAAAAACAAAAATTAACTTTAACACCCTGTATCTTTTTTCTCAGCAACATTTTATTAAGTCATATTTGGCCCAATAGCCATATTTTGGTCCAAATAACCTGTCCTTAGTCTATGTCCCAATAGTTATGACTCACCCTATATATTGTCCAATCCTCATGCTGGAACATTCAGACAGGCATGATGGCAGAACTCCCTATTTAACTTATTTTCCGAAGACAAACTTAACACTGTAAAAGAATACGTTAATTTACATTTCGATCCAATGTTCTTACCTTGTTTAGATTCTGTGCCTGTTCAAGGAAGGGGTACTCCTTTTTTTTCGGATTAAGGGGGCGTGGTAAACGTGATGAATGCTTGTGGCGATGTAGGTGGATTGCTAAAAAGCTGGGATTCAGAACGTTACGTGTGTGGTGTGAACGATATGGTAAAGCGCACAAGAAGAATTGTTGGTGGAGAAGGCCAAACAAGTCGAAGGAGATACTTCGGGGATTACCAGTCATACTAGGAACGGCTCTTAATCAGCGTTTTTGACGTGCAGTTGTTAGCTGCGATATTTTATGGGGATTGATTCTAGAATTCAAAATACTCATCAGAAAGTTTGTGTCCGGTGTTGTGTAGAAGTTTAGCTGGAGGGAATGGAACTTTTCTTTTAGGAACCCTGGTGAGTATTTGCTCTCAGCGATTGCATGGCGTCTTTATTATTTGTTTGGTCCTGTTGTTCAAGCTTGTGGTGGTTCAAAGGATATACCTCCTGCTGAGAGATATGATTATGTCCTTAATCGGTTTTCGATTGGCTACCTGATGTATATGTGCTGATGGATAATATCTGCAGAACCTCATGCAGGATCTATGGTGTTAATTTGGCGGCTGTTAAGTGATGCGTAGAAGCATGCGTTGTATTAGATCAGTGGTCTTATATAAGTTTTGTAGGTGTGCAATAATGTTTTAAATGACGTCTTTCTCACCCCGTCTATGGTGTCTTGATGTTGGTTTTCCATTCGGAAAACATCGGTGCTGTATAGGGTTCAATCTCGTTTTGTTTTAATTCGAAAATTTCGAATTAAATAGATAATATGTATTTCACTCTTTTCTCTATGTACTTTAGCAAAATCTATCTTCATTTCTTTGTATTTTTTTTATATAAAGCTTCATTTCTACCGTCTTTTCAGGAATTTTAAGAGATCGATAACGTTGGTTTAATTACTCCTATCCTCAGAATTTTATTTTGTAGTCTGCGCTCATAGAGGCGATAACATATACTCAGCTCATTGCCTAGTTATCTCAACATGGAGGGCTAGAATTTCAGACACCAGTAAAGAAAATAAAATCGATACAAAAAAATCGAATATGCAAAAGCTGAGAAACGCGACGAATATTAACAGAAATTTGTGACCGTAAAAATCATTGGTTTAACGATGAATGCAAGAGTACAACAAAGGAAAAAAATGAAGCCTACAGAAAGATACGATACGACGAACTAAAACAGTTGTAGAGAATTACCAGATAAAGAGAAAAGAAGAAAAGGGAATACACAAAAAAAAACGAAGCCACCTAAATACAAAACTTAAATATATAGAAAACCTTAACAGAGAGAAATAATTTAGAGCATTTATAAGAAAGTTAACCTCAACAGAAAAGAATTCAAGGCAACCACAAGATAATGCAGAAGTCAGAATGGCGACCTATTAACAACAAGGCGATGTATTAAGTAGATGGGTGAAATACTTAAAACAGACACTTAATGTGGAGGAAGAAGAAGAAAATATGGAAGACGAATGGGATGAGGTAAGGGAAGCAAATGAAAGGGAAGAGGAACCGCTAACGATTCTTGAAGTTAAAGATGCAGTTAAAAGACTAGCCATGACAAAGAAGATGGCCATGATACCATTATGGCATTACATCAGCATATAAAAGAAATATGGACAAAGAAATCCCTCCCCAATGATTAGAATACTGGAATACTTTGCACCATACACAAAAAAGGAAATATCTTTGAATGCTTTAACCATAGAGGAATTACACTTCTAAATGCAGCATATAAAATATTTTCCACAGTACTATGTCACCGTATGGCACACATGTAGAACGGATAGTAGGAAAATACCAGGCTGGTTTTAGAGGTGGTAAATCTACAATTTGTCCGGTTGCAACCCTGAAACAAATTTTGGAAAAAACACTGGAATATGGCATTGATAATCATCACATTCTTATAGACTACATAGCAGCCTACGACTCTGTGAATAGAAGAGAAATATTCAAAGTTCAAAGCATCGAAAGAGCTAATAATACCAAATTATTTGATAAATTTAACAAAACTAACTCTTGAAAAAATTAAATGTAGGGTACGAATTCAGGGGGATCTGTCCGAACCCGAGAAGTCCGAATCTGGCTCTGGAAAAAGTAATACGTATATCATAAATCACAACCATTGGTTAAATATGTAATATATCAGTTCAAATCCTGGCCCATGCTGACGATATCAATATTGTTGGGAGAACGGAAAACGCTGTACGAGAGGCGTATGTAGCATTAAAAGAATCAGCAATAAACATAAGTTAAATAATTAACACCAACAAAACGAAGTGTATACAAATAAGCACGCAACCACAAATCCTACTACCACTCGTTGTAGAAAACGACGTCATCGAAGCTTCTTCTTCTTAACGTGCCCTATCAAGTCCCCTTGACGTTGGCGATTAACATGGCGAAACTGTCTCTGTCTCGAGCTATTCTAAATAGTTGCTCAGCTTTCTTTATTCATGTCCACTCTCTGATATTCTTCAACCAAGAGGCCTGCTTTCTACCAATTCCTCTGCGTCCTTCGATTTTACCCATCATAATAAGTTGAAGAATATTATATCGGTCTCCCCTTACTACGTGTCCAAAATAGGCCATCTATCTACATTTGATGTTATCAAGCAACTCGCGAGCAGCATTTGCTCTCTCAAGGTCAACACTTAAAGTCATCGAAGCAGTAAACGAATTTGTATACCTGGGAGCGCTCCTTAACAATGAAAATAATACTATCGCAGAATTTGCACGACCAACAGATACTATTTTGGGCTCAATCTTCTTCTTAAATCCACAATTATATTAAGAAATACAAAAATAAAACTCTACAAATAATATGGTCCTAACATATGGTTTAGAGACAAATCTTTTTCGATGTTTTGAAAGAAAAGTACTAAGGCGAATCTATGGATCAGTGGACGTTTGAGGTGGATAGAACATGTAATGCGGAAAGAATAAAATGACACAGCTAGAAAAACGCTCCTTAATAGACCCATTGGTCACAGAAGAAGAGGAAGAACAAGGTTGCTTGATAACATCGATGAAAGACATAAGAAATATGGGAATACGTGCTTGGCGGAGAAATGCGATGGATAGAGACGACTGGAGAGAAATTAATGAGTAGGCTTGAACCCACGCAAGGTTGTGAAGCCAGAATAATAATGATGTCTGCGCTCTTGTCGATACCAACAAGCTTCTGTCTGTGTGTGTCTTTATTTAGCTGTCTGATCTCGTCTGATGTGACTTCTATTCATAATAATGTATTTTCTGTAGCCTTCAACATAAATTTAGTTTGTTTTAAATTTTCGTCAGAATAACAAATTCCTTCTCTAACAGGTAATGTCCCCATTTGGAAATACTCCATACTATTGCTAACAATTTCGTCTATATTGTAGGATAATTGATTTCCGCTTAGTTAAGTGTTCTATTGACATATGCTACTAGTTTGTCATTGCTATTCGACAAAATTACTCCTAAAGCAATGTCTGATATATCAGGTTGTCAAGTTTTTTTAGCCATGGATTTAGTTTATCAAAAGATTTTTGGTATTCTGCTGTCAACTTGAATATTACATTCTTGTTCTATAGTCTATTTAGCAATGCGGCTCTTTCAGCAAGGTCATTGATGTGATTTCTGTAACAATTTGCAAATGCTATGAATATTCTTGCTTTCGTTGCGTTGTCTGGTGTAGGATGATCCTACACGAGAGAACACAACAAAATTCGTTGTGTTTCATTGCGTTGCTTTTGTTGTGTTCCACACCGTTCCATTGCGATGATCTTCTTAGATTATAATGCTATTACCATATTTTGAGATATATCTTTTTCTAACTTGCGGCTTCGATTATCTACTATTCTTATCTACTGGACAGCGTTGCCTTTTTTATTAGATAGTTTATTGAGTCCCCTAATATATGATTTCTGGGTTTGGTTTTACAGTTTTTGGTGTGATTCTTCTCTCTTCTAATTATGTGTCCATACTATCTAATTCTTTCTGCTTTTATTGCTCTAACTATGTTCTCTTGACTCATCAAGAGACTCATAAGCCCAAGCTGACAAGAGGGTTTGTGTTAAAACTCAATAATCAGTTCTTAGAATTTAGTGCCTACATTTTAGATATTCATTCTCTCTCTTCAGTCCTGACCCTCAGTGGGAATGGAGTGGTCATCGTGATGTTGTGTGTATTGTTTGTCTGCAAAGATCTCTGTCTCTGGTCATTTATTTTAACTCATGCGTAGATCTTTTGCATATTGCTATAATTTGGTCGATCCATCTGGTTATGATCTTTCTTATGATCTTCGGCCTTGGATAATAAGTATTTATTTTTTCTGTGTCGACACTTATTCTTCTTCTTTCAGTGCCTATTTGTTCCGAATATTGGCAATCATTCTGGCTACAATTATTTTATTAACTGATGCTTTAAATAGATTCGTTGTTGTTGTGGAGAACCATTTCCTCAGGTTCTTCAACCATGATATTCTCCTTCTCCCAATTCCTCGCTTTCCGAATACTTTACCCTGTAGGATTACCTTCAGTAATCTGTATTTAGTGCTGTTTCTCATTATATGTCCGAGATATTCCAACTTTCTCCTTTTAATGGTATACATCACCTCTCTTTCTTTGCCCACTCTTCGTAATACGGTCTCGTTGGTTATCTTGTCTGTCCATGATATCCTTAGAATTCGCCTGTATAGCCACATCTCGAAGGCTTCAAGTTTTTTCTCCATTGCTTCAGTTAATGTCCAGGATTCAACTCCGTAATACAATATTGAGAAGATATAACATCGTAGGAGCCTTACTTTTATCTCCAGATTAAAATTGTGGCTTTTAAAGAGTTTGGCCATGTTATTGAATGCACTCCTAGCCTACTCTATTCTACATTTTATTTCCTGTGAGTGATCCCATTGTTCATTTACTGTTGTTCCAAGATAGTTATACTGTTTTACTCGGTCCACTGGTGTATTATTGATAAGTAGTTGAGCGTCTCTAACTTTATTTTTGCTGATGATCATAAATTTAGTTTTTGTTATATTTACTTGAAGTCCAAATCTTTCACTTACTTTATTTACTTTGTTTATTAGTTGCTGTAAACTGTTCATAACTGTCTGCAAAAATAACGGTGTCGTCTGCATAACGGATGTTGTTATGTTGATGTTGTCGACTTTTATAACATGGCCAAAGTATTTTAATAATTAGATACTCTACTATAGTCTAAAAACTTTTATAAAGTGCTATTTTAAGGTTTGTTTGATTTCAGTTCCAATATGATAGGAATATTAAAAATATATATTTTTTTCACAATCGTAAAATAGTTTTCGAAACACAATTCAGATTTCTGCTTTATAATCTGAGCCTTCTAAGAATTGCAAGGCAAACAGACGTTGATAAAAGATGTTAAAAGAGACATGGGGAATCTAAAATTTGCATTCCACGACATGTCTTTTACAACTAAGCAGAAATCCTTAGCGAATTGTGTTTCTTGTACTCCCACAGAGTAAATCCGAATAAAATGAGAAAAGGCAGCAAATATTTGATTTCACGCAAACAAATCCCATGTATCTCTTGATACGTATTTCGACCTAATAGGTCTCGTCAGAAGAGCTATTCATGAGGTTTCTCAACGTGAAAAATCAATATTTTCTGCCTTTTAAGAAGCAACAATAACATGGCTTCGATACGGACGCAGTAGCGACATCTAATTAAACAATCGTAAAATAGTTTTCGAAACACAATTCAGATTTCTGCTTTATAATCTGAGCCTTCTAAGAATTGCAAGGCAAACAGACGTTGATAAAAGATGTTAAAAGAGACATGGGGAATCTAAAATTTGCATTCCACGACATGTCTTTTACAACTAAGCAGAAATCCTTAGCGAATTGTGTTTCTTGTACTCCCACAGAGTAAATCCGAATAAAATGAGAAAAGGCAGCAAATATTTGATTTCACGCAAACAAATCCCATGTATCTCTTGATACGTATTTCGACCTAATAGGTCTCGTCAGAAGAGCTATTCATGAGGTTTCTCAACGTGAAAAATCAATATTTTCTGCCTTTTAAGAAGCAACAATAACATGGCTTCGATACCGACGCAGTAGCGACATCTAATTAAACAATCGTAAAATAGTTTTCGAAACACAATTCAGATTTCTGCTTTATAATCTGAGCCTTCTAAGAATTGCAAGGCAAACAGACGTTGATAAAAGATGTTAAAAGAGACATGGGGAATCTAAAATTTGCATTCCACGACATGTCTTTTACAACTAAGCAGAAATCCTTAGCGAATTGTGTTTCTTGTACTCCCACAGAGTAAATCCGAATAAAATGAGAAAAAGCAGCAAATATTTGATTTCACGCAAACAAATCCCATGTATCTCTTGATACATGTCTCTTTTAACATCTTTTATCAACGTCTGTTTGCCTTGCAATTCTTAGAAGGCTCAGATTATAAAGCAGAAATCTGAATTGTGTTTCGAAAACTATTTTACGATTGTTTAATTAGATGTCGCTACTGCGTCGTATCGAAGCCATGTTATTGTTGCTTCTTAAAAGGCAGAGAAATATTGATTTTTCACGTTGAGAAACCTCATGAATAGCTCTTCTGACGAGACCTATTAGGTCGAAATACGTATCAAGAGATACATGGGATTTGTTTGCGTGAAATCAAATATTTGCTGCCTTTTCTCATTTTATTCGGATTTACTCTGTGGGAGTACAAGAAACACAATTCGCTAAGGATTTCTGCTTAGTTGTAAAAGACATGTCGTGGAATGCAAATTTTAGATTCCCCATGTCTCTTTTAACATCTTTTATCAACGTCTGTTTGCCTTGCAATTCTTAGAAGGCTCAGATTATAAAGCAGAAATCTGAATTGTGTTTCGAAAACTATTTTACGATTGTTTAATTAGATGTCGCTACTGCGTCCGTATCGAAGCCATGTTATTGTTGCTTCTTAAAAGGCAGAAAATATTGATTTTTCACGTTGAGAAACCTCATGAATAGCTCTTCTGACGAGACCTATTAGGTCGAAATACGTATCAAGAGATACATGGGATTTGTTTGCGTGAAATCAAATATTTGCTGCCTTTTCTCAATTTCTCATATTTTTTTCAATTTATTTATAATTCTTTTGCTAGGGCGGACCTGCATAAAAATATGTGCGATGTAGAAGCTCCCCAATCAGAAGAACAATTCCGTGCATTAGAAGATTTTCAAGAGAAAATGATGAGTATACGCGGAGATTTTGAAGAGAATTTCAGAACTCGTAAATTTGAACTCCTTGGTATAATTGATGCCGCCCGTCAAGAGATGGAACACATTAAAGTTGCAACCTTATATAATAGCGAGAAATTAGACTATAATTATCAAATACTAGCACGAAGGGAAGATGAGAATATTTTACTAAAAGGCCAACAAAAACGAAGAATAAATAAACTGCAAGATGTTATAACTGACATGAGACACAAACTGTCTTCATACAAGGAAACGACAAATAATAATATTAAAAAAACCACTGAAATGATTAGTAAAATACATCAACGAATTTTGGAGATTGAAGCAAGGGCTGATTACATTGCTAAAGTTAATGAAAAAAATTTTAATAAGCTCTGGGAAATAAATAAAAAAGATTGTCAGCAAGTTCTAAAGAAAATAATGGATATTGATAAAGTTTTGCATGAACAACAGATGGCCAAGAAATGGGTTCAGCCAGAACAAATTTTTTTAGAGTATAGTTCCATGAGTAGTTTTAGGTAAAAAGTTTTTATATTTTTACATGTTATATTTTACCCATGCATACACATATACACGTATATAGCATTTTTCACATAAAAAAGCTTGCACGTCATTCAGGATTCACGTTGTCAGAACCCCACAGCGTTGCCAAAACATCAGAATAGTTAGTACCTAAGTGAGGAATTTTTAAAATGTCAACTATTTGTCGAACTAATATATTAACAGTAAATATACTTAGTTTTAAGACTACTGAAAAACAATAAAATACATAAGAAAACATTTTAATACAAAATTATATATTCTAAATTTTAAACTTACCTCTTTTAGGGCTTTAATAACAAAAACGTCCAGCGATTATTTCTTGTTCAAAATAATATATCTTATATGAAAGCTGCTCAGCTTTCTACAGACTATTTATTTGTTTTGGCATATCACAATCACAATACACAACCATAATAAGTTCTTAATGCTATTAATCTAAATTTAAAATGTATTTATAAATACAATTTATTAATATATATTATATTATGATCAAATTGTGTAAGAAATCAAAACATAAACAAAATTTCTACTCTAAAAAAGCGGCAGCACTTTATACACTTTTGCCACCCGCTGAACTGTCAATAATATTTAATGTATTTCCGAATGAGTTGCGTACAATTGTCTAATATATTTAATTTAAATTATTATTTTGTGGAATATTAGACTTCAATAGTTATTTTATAAAATTTATATTATTGATAATAATAAATGTTTTTGGTTATTTAATCAATATAATTCTAAAGGAAGTTAGGTTACAAGTTCCTCCTCTCGGAGGAACCTGTAACCTCTAGAGAGCGCGTCCCCAGGTGGCGGATAGGGGAATGCCCGACCCGGTTTACCGGTGGGTAGGAGGGAAATAAAATACCTCCCGTGGACCAACAGGTAATTCACCGAATGATTGCCGGTATAAGCAATCCCCCACTTATGACCAACTTCTGCGGGCGGATGAGTTAATAAGTGGAAGGGCACTCTTTTGTCCAAGGGTTGGGAAACTGGTCCTAAAGGCGGATGAATCGAAAAATATGTCAACGGCGTAAGGATGCAGAAGGCAACGGGGAACCACTGCATTAAAGACTCTTAGAGTACCCCTAGTAAAGTCATGAATGGCAAATGGCAAGTAGAGTAAACAAACTTACTGATTATGGAGCACGGAATCCAAGATCCGGCAGGGGAGGAATAACTGTAGATCACAGGGCCTCCCAGGTCGTAAACCAGAGAAATCCCTGTGGACTTAAGACATTGAAAATAGCAACCTGGAATGTCAGAAGTTTATATGCAAGTGGTAAACTAGCGAACGTACTGCTTGAAATGGAAAACCTTCAAATTGATGTTTTAGGTATAAGTGACGTACAGTGGCCAGGTTCAGGCAAACAAATTACAAATAATGGAACCATGTATTATTCAGGTAACAACGAGGTCAATCATCGTTACGGTGTTGCTATCTTAGTTGCAAAAAAGGTCAATTACTCTGTGGTAAGTTTTACTCCTTATTCTGATAGGATCTTATCAATACAACTACAGTCTAAAAATGGTATAGTAGATTTTATTCAAGTTTATGCTCCTACGGCAGATAAAGATGAAGACGATATCGAACTGTTTTACCATGATTTGGAACAAGTCTTAAAATCAATGAAAAAACATCACACTACAATAGTAATGGGCGACTTCAATGCCAAAGTTTGCCAGGGAAGAGTGGATGGATATGTGGGGGAATATGGTCTAGGAAATAGAAATGAACGTGGTGACCGTTTGATACAATTTTGATAGACGGAAGAATTTGTAATAGCTAATACACTTTTTAAGCTACCAAAAAGAAGGTTGTATACATGGAAATCTCCCGGTGATACAACGAATAGAATAATCCGAAATCAAATTGACTTTGTCCTTATTAGACAAAGATTTCGTAATTCTATACTGTCTGCCAAAACTTACCCTGGAGCAGACATCGGTTCAGACCATAACCCCATAGTAGTCACATTACGAACCAAATTAAAACTGGTTAAAAAACCCACACAAAGTAGAATTGATATTAAGAGATTAAGGGAAACACAAACAAAGGAACAAACTGTAAAAACTCTTACTGAAAATATACGTAATGCCCAAGAACTGAATAAAAGTAGCTATAACATTGATCAGAAATGGGAAAATATAAAAGCAGCAATAATTAAAACAGCAAATGAAAACTTAAAACCAAAGAATAGAAAACATAAAGATTGGATGACTGAAGAAATACTACTATTAATGAATGAAAGAAAATCATTCAAAACAAAAAATCCAATTAAATATAATGAAACTGATCGATTAATAAAAAAGAGAATAAAAGAAGCTAAGGAGAGAATGTTACATGAGCAGTGCCAAGAACTAGAAGAAATTGAGAAAAAATATGACTTTTTTAACATGCATAAAAAAATTAGAGAATTAACAGGAATGAGAAAAACACTTCAAACTAGGCAACTAAGAGATGAAAGGGGTGCACTTATAACAGATATAAACCAAAAAATGCAGAGATGGACACAATATATAGCACAACTATTTGAAGACAAAGAAAGAACAGAAGCACCAAAAGAATTTAAGGATGATACTGGGCCTGACATTATACGAGAAGAAATTGAATATGCAATGAAACAAGCTAAAGATGGTAAATCTCCCGGGCCTGATGAAGTTCCTATCGAATTACTTAAAATTGTGAATACTGAATCTATTGATCTTCTTTTGGATCTATTTAATACCATATATAGAACAGGTATAATACCTAAAGAATGGCTCCAATCAACATTCATACTGCTTCCCAAAAAAGCCAATGCAAAGGAGTGCAATGAACATCGCACCATAGCCTTAATGAGTCATGTCTTGAAATTGTTTTTAAAAGTAATTCACAATAGAATACATAAGAAATTAGATGAAGGCATAAGTAATACACAAATGGGATTTAGGAAAGGTCTGGGAACACGAGATGCACTGTTTGCAGTAAGTGTTCTTTCGCAGAGATGCTTAGATATTAATCAGGAAGTATATGCCTGTTTCATTGATTTTGAGAAGGCATTTGACAGAGTGCAGCATAATCGACTTAAAGAAATTTTATTAAATAAAAACATAGACAGTAGAGACATTAGAATCATCTGTAACCTCTATTGGAATCAAACAGCAAAAGTGAAAGTTGAAAACGAACTGACCAAGGATATCCAGATTCGCCGTGGGGTCCGCCAAGGGTGTATTTTATCACCCTTGTTATTCAATTTATACAGTGAAGCCATCTCAGAATTAGCGCTTGCCGAGATCAGTGAGGGCCTTATAATAAACGGTGAGCCACTTAATAACATAAGATATGCTGACGACACCGTCCTTTTGGCAGGAACACTAGAAGAACTGCAACACCTTGCTGAACAACTAAATATATATTGGAACGATTATGGACTAAAAATCAATTTGAAGAAAACCAAGTTCATGGTATTTACAAACGCACAAAACATCAAAGTTAAGCTAGTACTAGATAATACAGAAATTGAACAAATATCTTCGTACAAATACCTTGGAGCATGGATCACAGAAGATACTGATCAGACAAAAGAAATAAGATGCCGCATTGAAATTGCGCGGTCAACTTTTAATAGAATGAGAAAACTTTTTTGTAATCGCGATATCAATATATCGCTCCGGATAAGAATGCTTCGATGTTATATTTTCTCTACCCTTTTGTATGGAGTTGAAGCTTGGACACTTAAAAAATCCAACATTAAAAACCTAGAAGCATTCGAAATGTGGTGTTACCGACGCATTTTGAAAATATCATGGATGGATCGCAAAACAAACGAACAAGTTCTCGAACAACTAGGAAAACAATGCGAAGTTTTAAATTCCATAAAGATCAGGAAATTGGAATACTTGGGGCACATCATGAGAGGTGAAAAGTACGAACTACTAAGGAATATAATGCAGGGTAAAATCAAAGGTAGAAGAAGCGTAGGAAGACGTAAAATCTCGTGGCTACGCAATCTCCGTGAGTGGTTTGGATGCAGTTCAATTGAACTATTCAGGCGAGTAACCAATAAAATTATAATTGCCAGAATGATTTCCAATCTCCGATAGGAGGGGAACTTGAAGAAGAAGAATTCTAAAATTTTCATTATAATGATGATTAAATTGTTTTTATTATTACACCATATGGACGCCTATGAAAGATCGAGCAGTTCCGTATAGGTTTCGTATTATTAGCTGTGTTAGGTAAATTTGAACTATAGGGTTGCTGTTCTGGAAATTTTAAATACAAGTGACGTTACTTTGTATAAATCGTGACGTGCAAGTGTTTTACTTTGAAAAATGGTATACCCAATATTCTCTTATATCATATGAAACATAAATTACTAGTCCAGTAAATGAATTTTTGACCTCGCAATTTTTTCGGAAAAGGTCGATTTACTTGAACATTTGAGAATAAGTAGTGGATAGTACAAGGATCAAAATCTATGTGATGCCAAAAAGACGCTTTTACCACGGAGGTAGCTGCTACCCTATCTCATGGGTAAACATGTTTTGTTATAGTTTGACCGCAAAAATTGGTAGAAAAATCAATTCTAAGCAAAAAACGTCCATCACATTTTTTTGATGAAATATATAAAATTATAAAATAACTGAAAAATTATTCATTTTATCAAAACAACTGTAATTAACAAAACTGTAACGTTAAAAAAACAAAATGGTTTTTAAAATTTTAATTGAATTTAATTTTCCTTAAGACTAATATTAACCTAACTATACTTTATTATAGGTTAGCTCTTCTTCGTTGATTGCTAAATTTTGGAGTTTCGCAGTCAAATGTCGGGAAAACTATGTATTTTTCGAAGATAACTTATAAAAATTAATTGAAAGTATTTAAAGATCTACTAAAAAAGTCTCTAATAAAAAAATTAAGTGACTTATAATAAAATAAAACTCAGTCCCTATTTTTTTCGGCGAGAAAGTGGGCAGAAACAACCCC